ATCTGTGACCAGGACAGCAAGTCTTTGTGATGTATCGAGGTCCACGGTATTCAGAGAAATGTTGACATACGACCACAAAGGACAGACCACATCCAAAAGGAATAACTGTAGACGCAAGACGAAGCTGTCTGAAAGGGGATATCTGGGTACTAACTCGAATTGTATCCAAAAACCCTAAAACCACTGCTGCTCAACTCACTGCAGAATTACATGTGCACCTCGACTCTCCTATTTCTACCAAACTGTTTGTCGGGAGCTTTACAGGGTCAGTATTCATGGTCTGGCTACTATAGCCGAACCTTTCATCACTCAAGCAAAAGCCAAACGTCAGTTTCAATGGTGCCAGCACTACAAATCTTGGGCTGTGGACAATGTGAACCATGTTGTTCTCTGACGAGTCCACCTTCACTGTCTTTCCCACATCTGGGAGAATTACAGTGTGGAGAAGCCCCAAAGTGGCTTACCACCTGGACTGTTGCGGACCCACAGGGGAGGATCAATGAGGATTTGGGCTTCAATATCATGGCATTCCCTAGGCCCACTACTTGTTCTAGATGGTCGTGTCACTGCCAAGGACTACTGAAACATTCTGGAGGATCCTGTTCACCCAGTGGTTCAAGTATTTTACCCATACACACAGCAAGACTGGTGATGGAGTGGTTTGATGAACATGAAAGTGAACATGAAAATTAGTGACTGGGCTGATACCTGGCAGATGAAATTTAACATAGTTAAATGTAAGGTAATCCATGTAGGGAGCAGAAATATAAAGTACAGATATTTTATGGGTTCCACGGAAATAATGGTATCTGATTATGAGAAAGACCTCCATGCATATGTTGATGCTTCCATGTCCCACTCTCACCAGTGTGGGGAAGCAATAAAAAAGCCAATAGGATGTTGGGTTACATCTCTAGGTGTGTGGAATTTAAGTCAAGGGAGGTGATGCTATGATTATACAATTCCTTGGTAAGACCCCACCTAGAATATTGTGTGCGTGTTTGGAAGTCTGCCCACTCGCCCATTCCTCTGCCGCTCCCTGGACTCCGCTCCGGACCTCCCTCCCTCGTCGTCATTCGCCGGCTGCATCTTGGCTCCGCCTTGCTGACCAGACCCCGCCCACGGCTCTTCCAATGCGCCGCGCGTCACTTCCTGGTTCCTGAACAGAAAAGCCGGACAGCAAGATCCCTCGAGGGCTCTGCTCGGTTCTTTTGGATTTGTGAGATTGGTTTGCTTATTGATTTTTACTATACGTGTATGACTGTTTTGTTCTGGACTCCGACTTTCGCTTCGCCCCTTTCTGGTACTGTCGCTTTGGTTTGTTTTGATTTCCTGGTTTATTTGATCTTCTGCTTGTTTTTGGACTACTCTCTTTGCCATCTCCCTTTGGTACCTTTGCCTGTGTTTTGTATGCTTGCTGTGTGTGTTTGTACCAGGTGTGTGTAAGGAGTGACTGCCTTTTTGTTTTGCGAGACGTGGTTTATTGTATGTTTGGTTAGGGAGTCAGAATCTGGTGTTGTATTTTGTTTTCCTTGTGTTGCACTTAGATTTAGGTCCGGGACGTTTTCGTTAGCGGTGTTTTGTTTATTGTTTTGGCCTTGTCACTCCCGAAGTCTGTTACACCTGGTGTTTGTGAAAGTCTTTGTGGGGAAAAAAAAAGAAGATCCCTCTTGTTTCCCGTGTTCCCTTTTTCCCGTTCCCTTTCCTTTACCTTTCTGGCGATCCCCAACCCTACACTGGGGATCGTAACACTGGATGTTGTTCAGCCAAATGGCTATTTCAATATTAGTTTAAATACTTGATCTCATGGCCATAAATGGAAATTAGCGGGAGAACTTTTTTAGCTAAATTTGAGAAAGCACTTCTTTACACAGCGTATAGTTAGAGTATGGAATAGTCTTCGTGCTAGTGTAGCGCAAGCTAAAACCTTACCCTGGGATCCTTTAAATCAGAGCTAGATAGGATTTTAACAAATCCGAGCTATTAGTTAAGTTCTCCCCAAACGAGCTTGATGGGCCAAAGGGCCTCCTCTCATTTGTAAATATCTAATGTTCTTGTGTTCTTGAACATCTCCCATGGCATGCATAGTCATCAGATCTGAATATTATTGACACAATTTGGAGTGATTTGGAGGAGATGGAGCATCACACAGTGACCTGGCCAATATTATGCAAGAGGAATGGCTCAAAATCCCTCTGGTCACTGTGCAGGACCTGTATCTTTCATTACCGAGATGAATTGATGCCCAAGATGAATTGCTATTGGCTGCAAAAGGAGGCCCTACACCACACTAATATATTATTGTGATATGAATGCAGGTGATTCACCTACTGTATTTGGCCCCCACAATGTGATAAAAAAAAAAAAACCTATTGGGGCATTTTTCCAATCCCCACAAGGATAATCAATTTTATAAAAATCTGTGAATTCAGTCAAAAAACTAAAAATACCAAAAGCCTTGTACTTTGTTTGATTATTTATATGCTTAAAGTTAGGGCTGGGTAGCGGTTAAGGTCGTCATGTTGGGATTAGGATTATACCCATAGAAATGGAGAGTCCCCACAAAGACAAAGATAATGAATCCCTGTGTGTGTGTGTGTGTGTGTGTGTGTGTGTGTGTGTGTGTGTGTGTATCCTGTGGTAGACCTGTATCTCATACTGGGTCCTCCCTACCACCCTGTACCCTGAGGGATCATTTCCAGGCTCACTGCGATTTTTTTCTTACAGTAAACCATTTTGTTCGCTAACTGTCTGCCTCATCAAACCTTCATGCTACGTTACAGAACAAATGAGTGTGTAGGACAGAGGAAGTGCTGCTAGCAGATGATGAACTCATCTCACAGATGATGGGAACTCACATGATGTTGGCTTTGTGCGTGACCATGACCTTCTGACATTTCTTCTTGGTAGTGCGGTCAAAGGCAAAGTTAGTGATTCGGCGAGATGTCTCCCTGGTGATCGTCTTGAGACACTCAATAACCCCCTTGGCTCTGTGTCATGCAGACGGGCTGGGGAAGACGTGGGCGTTGAGCTTTACACACGGACAGGCAGCCTGCTGCGCTGTTACGTCAACGCAGCAAGGGGGCACTGTTGCTCAATGTCCCTTTAACTACTTAATGAAAGGTGAGATTAACATCATGCTCCATGTCTGCTCGTATATAATTATCAGGTCCAGGTTGTTTTGCCGAGTACTGCAGTTGGGCAGGCTCTTCACATGGACCAGGTTAGCGAAGAGGTTCAGCTTTTGCCTAGAAGCGCAACCACCCAGGAAATGTGGATCAACTACCATGGATAGGACAAAAAAAGACATTCAAGCCGACTGGAACAATGGGCCGTGGTCTATGCACATACCCACTTGGTTCGTATTTTTATAAGAGCACAATCTTAACTGCGTGTTCAGCCATGCATCAATCCTCCTGAGTCCCACACCCCCTCGTTAACCTCGTGTGGAATTACCAGCTGTTGCTAGTCTTGTCCAATCGAATCTGTGTATTTAAGTGCTTCCCAGTTAGTCTTTCTCCAGTCTTGTCATTAAAGTCTTGTAGTCGCTGACATTTCTCTGTGCCCCCAATTGTGTTCTCCCTCTAATAAACCCTGAGTTTATCCCTTATACTTGGACTCCCACGCTTCCCTTCCCATCGTACCTTCAGCAGTCCTGACACTTAGTATCAGTGGCAGAGTATGTAACAGCAACTCAATAGTTAAGACCTTAAAAAAGGTCTTATTGGACTTCAGGGCATTGTGAATTGTTTCTTCCCTAACCAGATTAGCACCCTTTATAATGTATCAACTCATTACTTAATTACTCAAACTCAAGGGGCCCTAGAGAGACCTGGCTGTTATTTCTAGCCATTAAGACAAATACAACTTGGATATTTTAGCACACAGGGTTATATCACCGCAGACAGTTTACTCAAATTGTTAGTTTCTACTTTTTCCCCCCTCTTGCAAACTGCTGCTGCATTTTTCCCCGCTACTACACACTTATGTAATTTTTTTCTGTAATATTGGAAAGATTTGATGACTAGGGTGCACCAATCAGATTCAGCACAATGGTCACAATTCTTGATACAATTCTTGATTGTCATCAGATATTATGACCCCAAACAAACCAGTGAAAAAAGTAAAGACTCTGCAGTCAAAAACACTTCAGGTGCATTATCATAATTAGAAATTATAATCCTGGAAAGATTTCATAACTGGGGTGTACAGATCAGCTCTGGCACAGGGTGACTAACACAGTGGGCATGAGATTTTGTGACCCGAGTGTGGCTTCTGAAAAATCAGAACATACCATTCATTTTTGGGCAACAATGTATTGTGCAGGAAGCTGTTTGGAAAATGGATGGATGGATGTACTGAGCAGGTCTTTAAACAGACATGTTCAACATGTTTATACACTTAAGGTCACCAATTGTCGTATTATATTCAGCATTCCTAATTAGGGCTGCCATCCGTCCCTGATAATACGGAATCGTACTGTACGCAGCATTTCATGTTCCAGTACGAGACTTTATAGTACTGAATTATAAGGGACGAGTGACTACCATATTCATAATTGTGTCAGAAAATGTAGTACACTTCAATACACAATATGATTCATCACTAAATTGGCTTAATCAACTGATTTGGTAGCAGTTGTGTAAGTATCAGAATGTCAGACAGCGTTCAAGTATCAGAAAGTAATTAAGATAATGAAACTAAGATGCATCTCGTGCTGTTTAAGACTATTTAACATAAATTTCTTTGAATTTGCCTTTTATACACTGTATAAAAGTAAAGTGGAAATAGCTTAAATAATAAAATAAAATAAAAATGAATAAACGTGGCACTGGCTACGTGTTTTGAGTTACGTAAAATGCGTAGAGAGTTAGCGCACGTGGACGGGAACCTCACGTTCATTCTCAACATCACGTGAAGCTGCGTCTCTAAATCTGACACCGAATTTGGAGTAACACCCATTCAGCCGCAGAGGTTCCTGCGCAGTCGCATTGCGGCGGCAAGGAAGGATACTAATTATTAGTCCTGCAAATCACGTACTTATTTTAATGCAACTAATAGTTGAGTATTCGGTGTGGACATAAAGATAAAACCTAACACGAAATGTATGTATTGTTACGTAAAAGTCCCATGCCTACACAAACTATTGTAGCGTTATCAATGTTCTCTGCTCAGACAAGCTGGCAGCGAAAGGCGAAATAACGAGGTATAATGTCATTGCCACCAGCACTGCAAATGCAAATATTCACCTTCAATTCACAAGTCCGCACCGCCGTAATAACCTATACCACTCCGTTTCTGACGGTTTATATGAGGTCAGAGAAAACGCGAAACTGAATTACTTCACCTCTGTGCGCGATTGTTGCTTTACAAAAAAGACGTTGTTAAATATTATTAACGACTGACATTTTAGTAACAAATATAAAATTTCTGAGTTGTCTTTTGGGATACCTGCTATGTAAATTTTCAGCACCGAGGTAAATTCTCCGAGTAACTGTTCATCGCTTACCTAAGAGATTAACCAAGCTACGTGTCACTTCCTCTCGTCGTCAGGAAGCAACTAGAATATAACGAGATTTACTTTGATACGAAGAAAATTTACCCAAATATTCTGTTCTGGACTATAGCACGAGAAGACTATTCAAAACGAATTGTAGGCCTATTATAATTATGATATACATTGAATTTACTCAGTTTCTCCGACTAAAACATCTATACATTTCAAAATCATCCATCCATGTTTCGCTTCCCAGTTGTGGCCATCAGTTCACTAACGCAAAAAAATCAAACTACGTATGGAGAGCAGCTGGTGACACAAAGGGTTAAACAGCAGATCTGTTTACTTTGCAGCAGCTACACGTGGGGGAGAAGGTGGAGGAGGGGATTAGAGATGTGACGTCAGGATGCTTACGTGCAGCCCTAACAACACAGACACATTCCCTGTGAATGAGAGTTCATCTCGGTACAGGACGCGCACCGTGTGTCTCTGCATCTCTCCCTTCGTCAAAGGCGACTCACAATGTCACTGACTGGTTCCCAATCAACAGAGGACGAAATCCAGGGTAGGTCCCATATGTCAGTTAAGGACATACTACAGCAATAATTGTAGTCAAATTACTGCTTAATTTTCGTGGCTTTATTGCGCATGTGTTATACAACTTGCACAAAAGTGCCAGCCGAACAGGAACTGTTTAAGGCTTACATAAGATAACATAAGGCGCCAGGCCTATAAATGTTGCACGTTCTTCATCAAGGAAAGCTTTGGATAGCGTTCTGTGTTCGAGTATAGTTTCTAGAAAAAGTGAGTAGAATCCGATTGCAATTGACACATATACAACCAATAAGCAAGGTATTGGAGTCGTACGAACAAAAAACGAAAACTTATTGCACAACAATTTTATTCTGAGTAGCTGATGCGTTCAACTGTCCTGTCATGAATTGCTCATGCGCACTGCGTTTATTTGCGATCGTGCGGGGCTGCATGTTTCTGGCTTAGTGCGCCCCTCCCTGACCACTCTGTGCTCCAGTGTTCAAGAGGACTCAGTTGTGCTTGCACGATGCTGTTGGGTTTCCACTCTTTTGAATGTCATTATTCCGCTAGAGGCTGCCTCATATCTCACCTACACCACGGTATCGCTGTCGATAAGCAGTTTATAACGACCCGACACTCGACAGCACTACACGTGTTAACTTTCTGTTGCTTTTCATTCAGCCGCTGCTGTAGATGTTTGTGGATGATATGGTTGTGAAACAATAGGCATCTTTAAAAACTGGAGCGTCTAGTTCCTTGGAATGACATTGGGGGATGGCGCAGGTGTCTGGTCTTTCGTGGCTTCATGGTGGGTGTTACTGTGATTACGTAATCATCACCTCACCAAGAAATCTAGGGCACTGGTACTCTGAACTTGTGGCCCACCAGTCATCTCCCTTTCAGCTCTTCATTACCTTCTCTTTAATAGTGTGTAGAGTCCTCCCTTCCACTATAAGGGATGTGCAAGAGAGAAATAGAGGGCAAGGTGGCTGTCGTCAGAGAAATGTAAATATGAACATTCCGGTGTGTAATTATACTTTTGTTTAATGGTGCCTTTGATTTGTCTTGTATTATTGTCATTCATTGACCACTTTGTATCATTTGTATGCTTCTATGCTGTTCAACACAGTTAACTTTTTGTGTGCCATGAAAGCATATCCTTTATATACTATCATCAGTTCATATGTGCCTTTTGTACATTTCTGTGGCAAATAAAATGCATAGAAAGACAGACAAACAGATTGGTAGTTATTTGGAAGAGTGGCAGCAAATGCCAAATCTGACAATTATGTACTTAGGGGTATAGCTTAATGAGTGTTGTGTGTTGTGTTTTTCCGGATTAATGTGTGAGCTATGCCAATGAAATGGTTAATTCATAAAATGTTGGTATTTGGGTCTAAGCTGACGCTGCACATGACTTGATGTCATAGTTTCTCAGGCGTTGCAGAAGAAAGAGCTAATCCTGGGTAGCCCTCCATCCTTGCAGAATTGGTTTGTGGGCGCAGGTCACGGTGTGGAGGCTCTGGTGTCAAACAGCCTAATGATCTAAGCAGTTTGTGTTGCTGCTTATGACCGTGAATGAATTTATTTGTGGGCAGTATGAAATGTTGTCACAAGTGATATACCAACTGGTTATTATTATTACCAATTGAACAGCTATCCAATTCCTATTTCTTCCATATCTCTATTTTACCAACTGTACCGGTTGTCCTCTATCTCTTAGCATCATGGGTGGAACTGGATGGATTCACTACCACGGTGGCCAGTCGCAGAGACAGTGTCATTGGCCCACAGGGCACCACTTCATCTCTCCTGCAGGGGGAGCTAGAGAGGATCCTCCTTGAGGCACAGTTGGAGTGTGAGAGAAGCACCCAGGCAGACGGGTCAGAAAAGTGTGTGCAAATGTTTTAATGAGTTTTAATTAAACTTGACAGATGTTTAAATAATAAAAAGGCTGCTTAATAAAAAGGATTTGCCTGCCTCCATAAAATATTCAGCTGAGTGAATGGACTAGATTTCCACTTTGGAATAAGATGTTGGTTAAGCAGTGGAATATTTTATATGTAGTAGGCATACACTATAAAGATGTATTGATTCATAATGCATTTGTTGTAACAATAGCACCATTTTTTCCACTGAATGGTATTAACTAATATAACAACTTGGAAGATGTCAGAAAACCAATAAACTGGTTTTATTTTGTTTTTCTCAAAACTCTGCTACAGTAGCACTTCTCAGGCGTCTCCCCAGAAGACAATCACCCCACAGGTAGCCAGCGAGGAAAATTCTGTCACGGAATGCATATTACAGGTAATGTGCATGCATACTCTGTGTGCACTCTACTGCAGGTCACAGAGAAACATACACAGAAAGTCTTGGCGCACATGCTTAATTCTGTAAAAATGTCGCAAATTTATTGGTTTCATAACTAAAGCCCATTGACAAGAAATGTTTAATATATCTGCACATATCTTCTGCACAGACATTTTCTTTTTATTAAGTATCATAATTTTGTTTGATTCATTCAGTTTTGCTATTGTCATTCTGCTATTAGTTGCAGTTGTAGTCATTGCTTTCCAAAGGCATACTAAACACAAATGTTTGGTTTTTTATTTTATTGCAAAGGTGTTGCTAATTAAAAAGAAAAAATGAAAAAAGCTCAGAACAGCTTTTAGAGCTATAATTTGGGTTTCAATTTATTACTACTTGAAACAAATGTTTTACTTAAAACTACTTAAAAAAACCCAAAACTTGTTTCTAATATGTTTTTGTAAACTAATGAATAAAATATTGATTTTTGTGATACTATTATTGTATATTAATTATAATATTATAAATATTATTTTATAATATTTATAATCTAAAATATTTTTGCTTAATTGAGCAAGTGTCCCAAGAATTTCTGTGAGCACAAAAATAAATGTGCTGCAACATACTGTGATATTCTGTAGGTTAAAAATAGACATGCTGCACCATACTCTCTACTGCACTATACTGCAGGACACAAGTACACATGCTGCAACATTACTCTCTGCTGCACTATAATGTAGGACACAAGTACACATGCTGCAACATTACTCTCTACTGCACTATACTGCATGTCGCAAGTACACATACTGTGGCATTAGGCAACCCACTCACATCCTTTCACAAAAACCTCATAATAATGGTCTCAGAGACTGACCCTTTGGAACTGATCAGTATGGGAAAGGACAAATGCTCAAAGTGCCCTAAGTTCTGGGGAATAGGCAACATAACCAATCATGTTTTTTCACTTGTTTCATTATGGAAGCCGGAAGACTGGCACCAGTGCAGACGATGCAGCAGCGCAGAGTGGGTGTGGCAGTGGTCCAGTCGACCTGAAAATCAGCCCCCCAAGTAAGCACACACGCCTTTCTGGCTGTGTCCCAAATCACCGCTGCTATACTGTTAGCTGCTGTATTTGTTCAGTCTTACAGTGCTCTTTTCACACTGCATTTCCCTTCTTTTCAACCACCGTTTCTGGCTGGCAGTGAATAATCTACATATTAATTGACTCTTATAGTCAACACAACTACAGGTTATTCATTTTCTTACCAACTGGTATCCCACCCAGGATGCAGCCCCAGCCTTGTGCGCTGTGCTGCTTGGGATTTTATTATTATTTTATTATCAGACGTGTTCCTTAACGCAATATACAGTACTGTGCAAAAGTCTTAGGCAGTCAGAGGGAACGTTGTATAACTCTTATCTGAATAGCATTTGTGCTCAGAACAAAAAACACAACTTAACATTAGAACATATGAATATTAAGAGTAACACAAAAACTACCTTTTTTTTGTTCTCTCACTGATATCTTGCTGGATGGCTAGATGAACACCGCTACAGTTCCCAAACCTCTCCTCAGGGGTACCCCAGCTATTCCATGTACAACATTAGATTTCACCACCCACTCACTTCATTAATTAATTAAATTAGTTGTTTTAAAAGTCAATGAAGTATTGATTAGCAATACAAGGTGCCAGCGGCCCAGTCAAATAATACTTGGGTGTACTGGAGGTTTGTGGCACACACTGACGTGACGTTACGACAAGTTTTGAAATGGCCATGCTAGCACACTTTGACAGACGTAATTTCATAGTTTTACGTGAACACAAAGATCATTTCAACATCGTTTTCTTAGACTACCTAAGACTTTTGCACAGTACTATATGTAACATGTTTCTCCTCGGGGGGGCACCAGCAGATTCACCCACTGGGTTTTAAACTTTAAAGCTTTCTAGTGTCTTAAGCCCTTCACCAGTAGATTATAAATTTATTCTAAATTTAAACACAGATGATAATTATCTTCCCCACCCCCCATCACCATAATGAGAATGAGCAGTTTTAAGATGGATTGAGGGATGATAATTTGGACTTTGGACATTTTAACAGCTGTTTTGTTTTTTACTCAATTTCTCTTCTTCTCACTCTGTTTTTGCACATTCGTTTCTCTCTAATCCTGTTGTCTCTCTCTCCAACAGAAAATTGATGTTTCAGCAGCCAAAGCGGTCAGGTTCTCTCGGTGGGGGGAAGAGCGGGGTGATGAAGTGGGGATTCTTCTCCTCTGAAGTCTTCCTCCTGTTCATACCATCCCTGGTGACCTCACACCTGCTCACACTGGCAGTGGGGTGAGCATGTCACTCTTTCACAGTGGGGCCAGTGAGATTGTAAGTGCTTCTGCAGTGGGGTGAGACACAGCTCACTGTAAGTGGGTTTGCACTATAATCACTGACACTGAAGGCAGAGATACTGCAGACTAGAAAAAAGCTGACATTCAGACAGAGCGGATGAGTCACTCCATAGTGAACTGAATTGCAACACTGACTTCTGTATGAAGTTTCAGTCACAAGACTGAGTACGGAAAAATACAAACAACTTTCGGTCTTTGTGTTTCAGGATTTATCTGGGAAAGCGGCTGGCAACCTCTTCTACGAGCCCGCTGTGAAGTGGACCCCAATTCTACCATGAAATCCCCACTGTAGGGTCACACTTATCTTCATTGATGATGATGTCCCACCCTTGATGCTGCCAGGTGCATTAGCGAACCAATCAGTCATTGTATAACTCTTGCTCTTTGTCTTTTGCTCACTTTGTTAGCAATTAGCAGACCCTTCTGCTTTGGGGTACAGCAGAAGACAACCATGAGAATCAGTGGCAGGAGAGTAACAAGTCAGAGAGTGATTAGGTGGACTGTGTTATGACAGGGGGGGATCATGGGAATTGGAGGGGATTCCTTGTACCAAACTGTTCGATCCAACATGTACCTCTGTGTTTCTAGTCAACATTGTGACACGTTCTTCATTGTAGACTTCCTCTTATGTGACTGCATCCCCGGCTCACATAAATAAGCCAGTCCTCATACTTCAGCAGACCCACGTTACAGCAGAGGGAGGCTACTCAATACAATACCTCACCCCCCAAAACAGCTACCTGTGACACCCATGTCGACAATTACAATTATGCAAAATAAATTTAGAAAAACAAAAATATAACAACCATAATGAACTAAACTAAATCTTCTCTACTACCGAGTATATCAGCATATCTGTAGCTATAACCTAGTTATTTTTCAGTCTGAATTTCCTGCCAAAATCACCTTAAATGCCACGGGATGATTAACTTGCAGAGGTTGTTTCTGCTTCGCTCTGGTTGTACGGAGGCTCAGATGATTTCTCAAATGAGTTAGTATGTTTGCTTCTGTTTTTGGGGCCTGTACCACGAAGCAAGATTTCTTGCTCAGCCAGATAACGTGTCCGAAACAAAATTAAGTCCATTTAAATTAAGGTACCTTAAATCTAACAAGTTATCCAGCTAAGCAAAAAAAAAACTGGCTTCGTGATACAGGCTCTGGTCTTACCAACCACTCTCTCTCCAGTGCTGGTGTACTATTTTGGGAAACCAAAGTGTTCTCAAACCAGCAATTATAATGGAACGTACAAGCATTAGCTGTAATCAACTCGCAGCCACAATTAGCATAATATTTTCTGTGTTGAACATCTACATCTGTGAATTTAGATTTCACACGTGTCGATAAATGTATTAATTCATTTCATTGTGCAAACCGAACCAAAAATATATGGAAAATATACGGAACGGTACACAACGCATACATGTGCTATTATAGACCAAGAGGAAAATTTATGTCTTCTGTCACATCGGCATTGTAATAGGATTCCAGTGGAAAAAATCACAGACACGACCTTTTCCGGTCTCACTGAAATGTGTGCAATGTATATGAAAGCAATTCCACAATCTATAGGGTAGAAAGGGTTGGCAACCTTGAAATAGGTATAAGCATATGGACTGACAGAAAGATTCCCTGCTCAATTTACAGGTCCAGCATGAATGTTCATATCACAGGTACCTCATTATGAAATTTGCACCCTTGACTGGGTGGAAAGGGAAAATTTCCAGAAGACCAAAGGAATGGTTTCCCTTAACTCCAAAGGTCCCATAACTGCTCTCTAGTGCCTGAATAGTGTATGTGTAATAGTGTATTTCAGCGAGTTCAGTGAAGACTTTCATCTCCAGCACAATGTGCCACAGACCCAAGGCTAACTGATCAATGACAGTCACCCCATTCTCAGCACATGGCTAATGAGCCAAGGCAGCCGGACACGACTTAGCCAGCCAAGTCAGCCCTTCTCAATTCTGCTTTATTACTAACTCTCTAGACGCAGAGGTAATCTTAAAGTATCCCCAGGCTTCGGATAATCAAAAAGGCATCAACACCTTCATGTGCAAGTATTTCTGATATATAGCGAGTTCTGCATGTTGATTAGTAGTACTAGTACCCCCCCCCCCCATTGTTTCAGTGTGACTCACCATCACTCCAGTCCCAAATCATGTGAATAACCTTCTGTCTCCCTGGCCTTTGTCTCAGTCCCAGACCCGTGTTTCTTTGCGAGTTGTGTCTCCCCAACCCACCGCAAATCATTCCCTGTCCTGTCGTGGAAAAGCAAACTAAATAAATCTCTCACAAAATCCCAGTCATGTGGTTCTGTCCAATGACCGTCATAATTTCTCTCACACAAAGATTATAAATTGAAATGGTTAATAGGACAGTTTGAAGGTGGGGGATTGAGACAAACCCTGACAGATCAAAGAGAACCAATGGACAGCCATGGAATGATGCAGGGCTGCAGCCCAGAACAGCTGCAGGGTGACTGCAAGCTTCGGACTGCAAGTGTCACTCGCCCCTATTCTATGTAGAACTTGTCTCAGAAAGCACACACTCTGCTTTTTCCATTTTGGTTTATTTTGACCACCTTCCATGAATGTGGGAAAAGAAACACATATTTTTATTCAAATTAAATTAATATATATTACCAAAATAGGCAAATGCCAATTTTATTACAATAGCTCACAGTTAATGGCTACAGTACTGTATATCACATCTTCAAGACAGTGGAGTCCTTAAAAACAATAAAGGGATTCAAGGTGACATCATGCTGTCATTAATACTGAAGTTTTATAATCAAGTAAAATTATCAGTGTATCTGATAAGCACTCATGTCTGTTGAACAGCTCATATGTAAACTGCAAGAACAGCTGGTTCAGTTGGCTACCCATGGGAAAAGAAAAAGTTGCTTGCCTCAAATGTACAAGGAAAGTGAAACCTACAGGCTGAAATCACTGCAGTAACAACAGAGTGGTAGTGGGTGGAGCGTCACAGAGCACGCTCAGTACAGTATGGGGCGGAGCGTCACAGAGCACGCTCAGTACAGTATGGGGCGGAGCG